CAAGGCACCTCTGGGTGGGTTTGAACTGCCAACTTTTTGACTAATCCAACACTTAACGGTTTGTGCCACCCAGCCACCTGGTCAATAAAAATGTAAGGTAGAAAGCAGCAAGTGCCCGGAGGTACATCAACTTAATTATCCAAGAAAAGATCTTAGTATCTACCATTTGCATCTCCTCCCAAGCACCCGGATCCCTAGATAGAATTCAAGTAAATAATTTGAGCAGGGAGGATATCACATTTGTTAGTTTTCTTTTTACATAAAAATGAATATAGATGACAAAAATGGCCCTTAATCACACACCACAAAAATAACCTCTGCTGGTATGAAAAAGAGAAAGATAATTTTGAGCTATGCTTTGAAAAATGGAAAGGAGATTCAGTTAGGAAACTATTACAACAATTAAGGGAAAAGAGAATTGATCAATTAAGAGAAACTAGTAGATGAGTATAAAAACAAACCAACCCACTGCCCATTCCGATTCATAGCAACCCTAGAAGACTGCAGTGGCGTTACTAGGGGGAGTGCAGACCGCACCCGACACTATCAGAGGGGGTAACACCAAAATGACCCCTGGGTCCCTGGCGGCGGCAGCACGGGCTGGTGAGCTGGTGCCGCCGCTTGGAGGGGTGCAGAGGCACCCTGTGCTGGGCGAAGTGAGCTAGGCTGCTTGCCCACTACGGTGGGCAGAGTAGAACTGCCCTGTAGGGTTTCCAAGGCTGTAAAGATTTACGGAAGCAGACTGCCATCTTTCTCCCACAGAACGGCTGGTGGGTTCAAACCGCCGACCGTTTGGTTAGCATCCGAGTGCTTTAACCACTCAGCTACCAGGGCTCCTTAGTAGATGAGTGTAGAGAATGGAAATGTGGGAGGAATCCAAGACAACTCCAATCTGGGGGCAGGAAGGATGAGGGTGCTATTGATAGAAATAAAGAACATGGAATTTGGAAAGGAAAACATGACATTAAGCTTTGTCTCCCTAAGGAGCATGTCACCAGGAGCTTTGGGATCAGGAAGGTTTGGATAAGGTTTCACTGGAACAGGCCACTAAACAGAAGGTTTCAAGATACATAAAATAATCAGGAGCTAGTTCCCGTGCTCCTCAAGGTGCTTGCAGCTTAAAAGGGAAGTTATGATTACATATATGTTAGCCTAAAAACCTTTATGCAAAAAAAAAAAAAAACCTTTATGCCACAATGTATCCATAAATTTAAGATGTGGTCAAGGTTTTCATCAGAACTGAGAGAACCCAGTAAACGAAGGATTAAGCAGGTGGGATGAGTCCAACTGGCTTCTGAGAGGTGAGTTTCCAGTTGCATTGAAAAAGGACAAGGTTAGCAGGTAGGAAATAATCTGGGCAACAGAATAAGCAAATCTACAGAAGAGAAAATAGTTCAGTGGTTGCCTAGGGCTGGGGGTGGAGGAGGGGGATGACTGCTTAAAGGCAGGGAGTTTTTCAGGGGGTGATGAAAATGCTCTAAAATTGATTGTGGTTGATGGTTGCACAACTATGAATATACTAAAAACCACTGAATTGTACACTTTAAATGGGTGAATTGTATGGTATGTAAATTATATCTAAATAAAGTTGTTACAAAAGAAAAAGAATCTGGGCAAAAATTCAAAGCTAGGAATTGGTGAGTTATGTGGCGTGAACTTTGGTAGCAAGTGATAGTGGATGGCTGCACTGGTGGTGAGAGAAAATGCTGGAGAGGCCATGGAAACAATCAAGGCAGAAACAAAATGACCTGGTAATTTGTTCATCTTTCTTCTCATTGTGATTGCACCCCTTGAATGTTTAATACTGTGAGCTGCAAGGGACTCGGGGACAGTAAGTCAGAGTTTCTTAGAAAGGCAATTAGTTTGGTGTAAAGGGGAAGAGCACAGCTAACTAAATGTATATAAGGAAGAAAACAAGATTAACACAGGAAGTAGAGAAGAAGGAAGATAAGTTTAAAGAAAATAGGAGAAGGAGCAGCGGAAAGGAGTGGTTTTGCTTGCCCTTCTCCATCAGCCAACACTCTATCTCTAGCTGGAGTCCCTTGGTGATGCATCTGGTTAACGCTCTTGGCAGGTAACCAAAAAGTTAAGAGGTTCAGGCCAACCCAAAGGTGCCCTGGAAGAGAGGCCTGGCGATCTACTGCTGAAAAATCAGGCATTAAAAACCCAGTGGAGCACAGTTCTGACACACAGGGTCACCATGAGTTAGAACTGAATCAACGGCAACTGGTTTCTAGCTTTTTTTTTCTCATTCAAAAATTTATACACGTATCATTTTGTGACATTGGTTGCAATCCCCACAATGTGACAGCATGCTCCCCCTTTCCACTCTGGGATCCCTGTGTCCATTCGTACAGTTCCTGTCCCTTCCTGCCTTCTCATCCTGCTTTTGGACAGGAACTGCTCCTTTGATCTTGTATTATTTTTTGTTTTATAGGCCTGTCTAATCTTTGTTGGAAAAATGGACTTCGGGAATGGTTTCAGTTCCGGTTAACATAGAGTCTGGGGGCCAAAATTTCAGGGGTTCCTCCAGTCTAAAACCATTAAGTCTGATCTTTTTACTAGAATTTGAGTTCTGTACCCCACTTTTCTCCTGCTCTGTCAGGGACTCTCTGTTGTATTCCCTGTCAGGGCAGTCATTGGTGGTGGCTGGGCACCATCTAGTTCTTCTGGTCTCAGGCTGGTGGAGCCTCTGGTTCGTATCGTGCTTTAGTCCTTTGGGCTAACATTTTCCTTGTGTCTTTGGTTTTCTTCATTATCCTTTGCTCCAGGTGGGATGGGACCAACCGATGTACCTTAGATGGCCACTCGCAAGCTTTTAAGACCCCAGACGCTACTCACCAGTGAGATGTAGAACTTTTTTTTTTAAAACTATGTTATGCCAATTAACCTAGATGTCCCCTGATCTAGTTACCACTCTCGCAGAATGGCTACCAGGGTTGTCTCTAGGCTGGCTCACTGGCCCACTACCCCTTACCAAGCACTGTGGGCCTTCTTTTTAAGAATTAAGGATGGGAAAAAGTAAAGGGATTGTTTGCGTATATGCTTGAGCCAGTAACACCCACAGCAATTCTGACTCATGGTGACCCTGTGGGACAAAGCAAAACTGCCCAATAGTTTCCAAGGCTGTAATCTTTACAGAAGCAGACTGCCACATCTTTCTCCCATGGAGTGACTTGTGGGTTCAGACTGCTGACTTTTTGGTTAGCAGCCGAGCACTTAACCACTGCACCACCAGGGCTCCTGTCCCAATAATAGCTCCCACTTATTGAGCATTTACTATGTCACTGTTCTAAGAGCTTTACATGTATACATTAATTTAATCCTCTCAACAACCCTGTAAGTACTATTATCATTTCCACTGAAGATGAGGAAATTAAGGCACAGACAGATTGAGCAATGTGCCAAAGTCTGCAGTAAGTGGCAGACACCAGGACTTGAAAACTTCAGTGATCTGGCTTGTTTTGTGCTTTTAACCACTGTGGTTTGCCGTGAAGTAGATTCCGACTCAGGGTGACTCCATGTACACAGAGTAGAAGTGCTCCATAGGGTTTTCAAGGCTGTGACCTTTTGGAAGCACGTCACCAGAACTTTTTCCAAAGCTACACCCCCAATATCCTGGAAATATGCTAGTACCAAAACCAAATCCGTTGCTGTTGAGTTGATTCCAATTCACAACCCCGTGTGTTACAGAATAGAACTGAGCTCTTGGCTGTAATCTTTACAGAAGGTCCCTATGTGGTGTAAATGGTTTGTGCTTGACTAATAACCTAAAGGTTGGCGGTTCAAACCCACCCAGTGGCACTGCAGAAGAAAGGTGTAGTGGCCTAGTTACAAAAAATCAGCCACTGAAAACTCAATAGCGCACAGTTCTACTCTGACACATATGGGGGTGCCATGAGTCAGAATGGACTGGAGGGCAGCTGGTAGAATTTGGTCTTTGTCCTTGGTTTCTGAGAAATAATCTCTAGAACCCTGGATTTCAGTAAGGACTCCAGACCACATCTAAGGGTATGCTGGTGAGGTGACTCTTGGATATGGGCTAGCCAGGACAGAGGGACCCACCTCATGATCACCACCTCATAATGACGTGGCAAAAACCCCCTCTGGACATGGAAGCTCCATGGGCTTCCTGGCTGGTGAAAGGCATCGATGTGCACGGAAGAGTAGTACATCCTTTTCTGGGACATGGAAACTCTGCACTGGGACCCTCCCAGATCTTGCCCAATGTGTCTCATTTGCATCCTTTTCGCTGTAATAAAATTGTAATCATAAGTATACTGTTTCCTGTGAGTTCTGAGTTGTCTAGTGAATTATGGAACCCAAGGGAGTAATGGGAACCAGCAGGTCAGAGTGAGGGGGTCTGAGGACTTCTGAGCTTACGGATACAGGCACCCCCAAGTTTGTAGCCAGCAGGCCAGAAGTGAGGGAACTGGTGGGGGGGGGGGGGCAGTGAGCCTGCAGTTGGCATCCTGAAGGGGTAGTGGGAAGACTCAGAACTTATAGCCAGCAGGTTAGAAACGAGGGTGTCATGGGGACTTCCAAGCTGGTAGCTGCCATCGGAGGTTCTGGGCAGACTTGGCAGCCTGGAGGACTATGTCCTTCAACCTGTGAGACACGACCTAGCTCCAGATGGTTAGGGTCAGAGGAAGAAGTGCTACATGTGCACCTAGTGTCAGAACAAAAGTGGCAGAGAAGTGGAGTTCTGATTATTTGCCACACATATGGCGTGGGAGAAAGTGCTGAGCCAAGTCTGATTAGAACAGAGCTTTTGTGTGAGGATAAGATTCAGTCCCCAGTTAAACCAATTAGCTCTGCAGGGTGGAAATCCATTCCCTAGGACAAGGCACACACCTGAAACTAGCAGAGGCTGGTGACAGCCCAGTACAACCATCTCAATGTTTTAAAAATCAGTGTGTGCTGCTGCTGATAGATCAAGAATGCCAACCTCACAAAGGGTAACACATTCATTTTTCTTCTACTCAATATCTCCATCTTGGCATATATTAAAACAAATATTCTAACAAACTAATATTTATATTAGAATGTAGTAATAAATTTACTGTGAATAAAATATAATCTCTATTACATAATTACATCTGCCTTGTTTTTATTGAACCCCACTATATAGCACTGGTGGTAAGAGATATGGCTAACTCACACTTTTTTTCCTAATCAAAAGCATACAGAATCCAAGTGCACACCCACTTGGCTTTAATATATCCCAATTCTAGCGCTCTTCTTACTCTGGTGTTGGCTCTTCCATTGCCCTCATGGTATTCCATTGTTCATTTTCACAGTCAATCCCTGGAGTAGCCCATGATATGCAAAGGGGTCCATGAAAAACAGAGTTCTGTCTGAGCCTGGAAATTTGTCCAAATAAAAGGTACAAAGGCTCCTCTTGCTTGGAGAGGAATAATTAAAATTTACAAAATGTGCCCGAGAATGAAGAAGCACTACTCCTGTGATCCTGCTACATACTCATTTGAAGAGCAGCTATTCAAACCACAGGCTCCTGGTTTAGTCTTCATCAACTCTGCTTTCTGTTAAATGTTGTCGTCCGCTGCCATCAAGTTGATTCCACTCCAACTCATGGTGACCTCATGCATGCAGGGTAGAACTGCTCCATACGATTTTCAAGGTTGTGGTGTTTCAAAAGCAGACCACCAGGCCTGTCTTCCGAGGCACCTCTGGGTGGATTTGAATTGCTAACCTTTCAGCCAATAGTCAAGTGCTTAACTGCATCCATAGAAAAATAATACAGTGATACAGTGCTCAGAAAAAGCTCTTAGAAAGTTCAGAGCCAATCTCTTCCTTTCAGCTCGTTCAGCAGATATTATAATGATACTTGGCACCACCCAGTGGCAATCTTCTCCTAAGTACTTGTGAAAAAACTGCAAACTATGCAAACTCTTGATCACAAGAAAAAATACCTCAACCAATCAATATAAAGTTGCAAATCAAACTAAAGCAGTTCCATTTTTTAAAAGTCATCTACTTTTAAAGGTTCAGATCTTTTAAAGTTGTGTTTCTAGACTCCTGTCTCCTCAGAGATGAACAGCTTAGATAATTTAAAAAAAAAAACACACAAAGAAATATAAAAAAATTTCGCCTGCTCTTCTCTAACAATAAAAATATACTAGCTTTAAAATAAAATTACATGTTAGAAGAAGGGCGGCCCATTTATAAGAGGTTTCAGATTTTTCTTACAGGAAAACAGAAACATGTCAAGACATTAGTGCTTTAAAAAACGTGTGAATGAGAGAGAAAAAATCAGGGCTTTTCCTAGAGAAGTCTTCCAGTTGTTCAAGTATACTTATTTCTTCTAAGAAAACCAACTGGAATACTGGATGGCTCTGTCCCATAGCAGTCTAAAACACAAACTCTTAATGGACATATAAAAAATAAATCTGTCTGAACCAACTTGGAAGAAGAGCAAAATTATAGGCCTAGGAAATGTATTTTCTCAAATTCTTTTTTTTTTTCAAACTGGGTTTGGTAAGAGCACGGAGGCTTGGGAGGAGCAGGCTGAAGCTCCAAGGTGCTGGCACTTGGTCCTGACTCCTGTTGCCAGTTCCCAAGAAGCAAAGGGCTCTCAGGGACGGCTTCCCTCAGTGATCTCTTTTGGGACCAGAATGGAAGGCTTTCCAATGAAGGGTGTGAGGCACCTGCTGCCACAGCAAGGAGCTACTAAATGAGGGACCATACTTGCCAACTGAAGAATTCTTTAAAATTTGAATATTCGGGTAACACTAACCAAGGCTGTACCCTGATTTTCTATTTCTGAAAGTCACACTTTAAGTTAAAATTTTTTGTTCTGCATGTTTCCATTTATCAACAGATACTGTAGAAGTTAAATCATGGTATCTTCCCAAAAGGAAGAAAAAGAACAGTTCTTCTTAGGAGTCTCTTTTCTTTGTAACTTAAATGTCAATGATCACAAAAACTTCTGGGTTCTCTTCATCGTAGACCTGCATTGCTGAGTACGTTATTGCCTTGACTTCAGTTCCCTAAAGTTGGGGTTACAGAAAAAACAAACAGGAAAAAAACGACACTGACATCAGAACCATGAACTCCAGCAACAACTAGGAGGTAGAACAGAAGCACTAAACACTAAGTTATTAGGCCATTTAACTGGGATATCCCATGAAAGCATTACCCTACACCTCCAAACCAAGGAACGAAATCCCACGAGGTGTTTGGTTGTACATAAGCAGCCTCAGCAGCTACTCTCTTTTTTGTTATTGTTGTAAATACATCTATCACACGATGTTTGCCAATTCAACTTTTTACAGGTTACAATTTACTGTCAGCAACTACAATAATTGGCTGTGCAACTCTACCCCTAATCAATGCGATTTTTCCATCACTGTAAACCGAAACTCGGTATTCCATAAGCAATAACTCCCCCCTTTTCTCCTCCCTCCTACCCCTTGTAACCACTAATAAACTTTAGTTTCTATACATTTACCTTTTCTTTTTATGTAAGCGAGGTCATACAGTATTTGTCCAACATTCTATTTGACTCTGTTAGTCCTTTCATACTTACATTTGCTTTCTTCACAGATTGCAAAGAGTGAAATTAAATTAGCTGAAATGCATTCTGAGCAATCCCAATGGCTAATGTGAATTTAGAGTATCTAAAATTTGACAAACTGGCCAGGTCTTAGGGATATACTATTCAGGCGTTCCACTGAATTTTGGGAGGTGGGCAGAAAGGAGTAAAGTCTTTCTCATTTGTTCACTGTAGGGAAACAGAATCACCATACTTCATTTAATGCTTTTACTATTCCATTGGCCAGTTCTTCAGTATTCCACATTACTGGCAGCACTCTTCATTATTTTCTATTAACTTTAGGAACAAAACAATCATGCTAGGCCATACTCAGAGTCCATTCATATTAGCATTCCCCTCTGAAAAGAGCCCAAAGGGATGGTTAGGGTTGTCTTCTATTGTCTACGTGAAATGTATGCTGTGCCCCAAATATATACTATTTTATCTTAGAAAAATCCACTGTGCTATTTGTATTGTAAAAATCATTTCTTTTCAACATACAAGTCCCCCTCTACTGGTTTCTCTTCTTTTTATGTTCCTCTCCCCTGAGACTCCCTCACCAGGCTTTATTTCATTACCCTGTGATGGAAGAAATCATACTATAGCTACTGGACACACTTAAGATTTCCCAGTCACCTCCAGCGATTTTAGGCCTCCTTGGCATCAACACAGGAATTGGCAAACTACAGTCTATGAGCAAAATTGAGCCTGCCATTTGTTTCTGTATGGTCCCATAGGCTAAGAATAGTTTTTACATTTTTAAATGGTTGAACACAAAATCAAAAGAATAATACTGTGTGATGTTTAAAAATTATATGAAATTCAGGTTACCAGGGATGGGAGGGGTGGGGGGGAATACTAAATAGGCAATAGATAAGTGCTATCTTGGGTGAAGGGTGAGACAGTACACAATACAGGAGAAACTAGCACAACTTGTAGAAGGAAAGGTCATGGAAGCCCCATAGACACATCCAAACTCCCTGAGGGACTGAATTGCTGGGCGGAGGGCTGTGGGGATCATGGTCTCGGGGAACATCTAGCTCAACTGGCATAACACCGTTTATAAAGACAATGTTCTACATTCTACCTTGGTGAGTAGTGTCTGGGGTCTTAAAAGCCTGTCAGCGGCCATCTAAGATACTCCACCAGTCTCATCCCTTCGGGAGCAAGGGAGAATGAAGAGAACAGGATACAAGGAAAAGATTAGTCCAAAGGACTAATGGTCCACAGCTACCAAGGCCTCCACCGGACTGAGTCCAGTATAGCTAGATGGTGCCCGGCTACCACCACTGACTGCTCTGACCAGGATCACAACAGAGGGTTCTGGACAGAGCTGGAGAAGGATGTAGAACATAATTCTAGCTCACAAAAAAAAGACCAGATTTACTGGCCTAAAGGAGACTGGAGAAACCCCAAGAGTATGGTCCCCAGACACCCTTTTAGCTCAGTGGTGAAGTTATCTCTGAGGTTCACCATTCAGCCTGGGAGTGGACAGCCCCGTAAAACCAAATGGGACTAATGAGGTACAGCAGTCCAGTGACAAGGGCCAGAAGGCAGAAGGGGACAAGGAAGCTGGTGATAGGGGACCCAAGCTTGAGTAAGGATATTGTTGATGTGTTGTGAGACTGTTAACTATTGTCATAGTAGTAACTGTTAAAAGAGAAACTATTTTCTTCTGTAAGCTTTCATCTTAAGTGAAAATAGCAGCACAACTGGAAGAGTGTAGCCAATGTCACTGAACTGTGCATGTAGAAATTTTTGAAATGTTGTATCTTTGGCTATGTGTATTTTCACCAAAAGAAAAGGTTGAGAAGTTAGAGGGTTGACATGTTGTGGGGTTGTTAACCAATCTCATAAAACAATATGTGTACTACTGTTTCATGAGAAACTATTTGTTCTGTAAGCCTTCACCTGAAGTACAATAAAAAAGTTTAAAAAAAAAGAAATGGGAAGAAAAAGAAAGAAAAAAAAATTATATGAAATTCAGATATCAATGTTGACGTAAATAAAGTTTTATTGGAACACAACCACACTCATTTGCTTATATATTGTCTATGGCTGCTTCAGCACTACAACAGCGGGCTGAGCAATACCTCTCCCATTGCTCTTGGCCAACAAAGCCTAAAATATTTACTACTGGCCTTTTATAGAAAAAAAAAAATTGTCAACCTCTGTTTAAACAGATTTGACTGTTATGAAGTCAGGCCATACAGCTTGGCAAATACAGAATCTAATGAACCACAGAAGATAGAAGGTACCTTAGAAACAACTAGTCCAACACCCTCATTTTAGTAGTGAAGAAACCAAAACCCCAAAAGGCAAAATACCATTTAAGTCCCACAACAATCTGTAACAAACCTGACCCTAGAACCCAAAATGCTGACTCCTAATCAGCCATATCAGATGTAGAAAATCATAGTATTTGACCATAATATATCTAGAGAAGTCAGAGAAATATGAAAAAAACTTATCACTTTAATTACACCAATTTATTAGACCTAGTTGAAGTTCATTGTCCAATATGCTGACCTTACAATGAGGCAGTATAAAATGCTTTTAAAGGCTAGATTTTTATTCTAACTCACAAAAAAAGACCAGACTTACTGGCCTGACAGAGACTGGAGAAACCCCGAGAATATGGCCCCCAGACACCTTTTTAGCTCAGTAATGAAGTCACTCCTGAGGTTCACCCTTTAGCTGAAGTTTAGACAGGCCCATAAAACTAATGAGGCACAACAGCCCAGGGACAAGGACTAGAAGGCAGGACGGGACAGGAAAGCTGGTAATAGGGAACCCAAAGTCGAGAAGGGAGAGTGTTGACATTTCGTGGGGTTGTTAACCAATATCATAAAACAATACGTGTACTGTTTAATGAGAAACTATTTGTTCGGTAAACCCTCATCTAAAGTACAATAAAATTTAAAATAAATAAATAAAGGCTAGATTTTAAAAAACATACCTGAGGGTGCTTGGACAATGAAAATTCTTCCCCCCACCTTGAGAAAGAAAATTAAAGCATGATTAAGATTTCCAAGATTTAACATTTTTAATCTCTTTAGATATTTTAAAATAAGTCTTATAAAGGTGGTTAAGATACCAGAAAGTCAAAACAAATGGAAACGGGTAGGAGAGCTATAAATATCACTTTGACTTGCTAGCAGATACACCTGTTAAGGGACTTGAGTGCAACAGCCATTTGGAGAAGTTGCCACTTGACAGGTGCTCTCAAAAAAAGTGCCCAAGTATAGTGTGCTGATGGTGGATTCTCAATCAACATTGTTTCATAACAGAGTATGTTCAAAATTTTCTCTGTACTCAGGGCTATTGTTGTTAGCTGCCATCAAGTCAATTCCAACTCGTAATGACCCTAGGTGTGCAGAGTAGAACTGCTCTATAGGGTTTTCATTGTTGTTGTTGTTTAGAATATACACAGCAAAACATATACCAATTCAACAGATTCTACACGTACAATTTAGTGACACTGATTACATTCTTCGAGTTGTGCAACCATTCTCACCCTCCTTTTCTGAGTTGTTACTCCCCCATTAACATAAACTCACTGCCCCCTAAGGTTCCTATCTAATATTTTAAGCTGCTGTTGTCAATCTGATCCCATATAGATAGTTCTTAAAAGAGCATAGTGCTCAAGGCAGACACTTTTTACTAGTTAAGCTAAACTACTGTTTGGTTTTAAGATTTCAGGGGATACTTTTGGTTTAAGATTTAAAGACTATCTCAGGGCAATAGTTTCAGGGGTTGATCCAGCCTCCACGGCTCCAGAAAGTCTGGAGTCAATGAGAATTTGACATTCTGTCCTACATTTTCTCCTTTTGATCAGGATTCTTCTATAGAATCTTTCATCAGAATGTTCGGTCATGAACTGGGAGCTCCTAAAAATCAAACATTTATGCTCATCAAAAGACTTCACCACAAGAATAAAAAGACAACCTACAGACTGGGAAAACATTTTTTGCTACGACATATCCGATCAGAGACTAATCTCTAAAATGTACTGCAAAATTTTATACTTCAAAACCTCAACATCAAACAGACAAATAACTCAATTAAAAAATGGGCAAAGGATATGAACAGGCATTTTACCAGAGAAGACATTCAGGCAGTTAATAGATACATGAGGAAATGCTCATGATCATTAGCCATTAGAGAAATGTAAATCAAAACTACAATGAGATAACATCTCACCCCAATAAGGCTAGCATTAATCCAAAAAACACAAAATAATAAATGTTGGAGAAGTTGTGGAAAGACTGGAACACTTACATACTGTGGGTGGGAATGTAAAAATGGTACAACCACTTTGGAAATCGATTTGGCACTTCCTTAAAAAGCTAGAAATAGAAGTACCACACGATCCAGCTATCCTGCTCCTTGGAATATATCCTAGAGAAACAAGAGCCGTCACACGAATAGATATATGCACACCCATGTTCATCGCAGCACTCTTCCCAATAGCAAAAAGATGGAAACAACCTAGGTGCCCAAACACTGACGAATGGATAAACAAATTATGGTATATCCACACAATGGAATACTACGCAATGATAAAGAACAATGATGAAGCCGTGAAACATAACATGGAGGAAGCTGGAGGTCATTATGCTGAGCGAATTTAGTCAGTCACAGAAGGACAAATATTGTATAAGACCACTATTATAAGAACTCACGAAAAGGTGTAAACACAGAAAAAAATATTCTTTGATGGTGACAAGGGTAGGGAGGGGAGGGAAAGGGTAATTCACTAACTAGATAGTAGACAAGAATTATCTTAGGTGAAGAGAAGGACAACACACAATACAGGAGAAGTCAGCACAACTGGACTAAACCAAAAGCTAAGCAGTTTCCTGAACACGACCAAACATTTTGAGGGACAGAGTAGCAGAGGCGGGGATCTAGGAACCATGGTTTCGGGGGACATCTAGGTCAACTGGCATAACAAAGTTTATCAAGAAAATGTTTTGCATTCCACTTTGGTGAGTGGCATCTGGGGTCTTAAAAACCTGCAAGTGGAAAAGCTTGTGAGCAGCTATCTAAGATGCATCAATTGGTCCCAAGCCACGTGGAGCAAAGGACAATGAAGAACAGCAAAGACACAAGGAAAATATTAGCCCAAGAGACAAAAGGGCCACATAAACCAGAGACTCCATCAACCTGAGACCAGAAGAACTAGACGGTGCCTGGCTACCACCAATGACCACCCTGATAGGGAACACAACAGAAAGTCCCTGCGGAGCAGGAGAAAAGTGGGGTGCAGAACTCAAATTCACGTAAACAGACTTAATGGTCTGACTGAGACTAGAGGAACCCCAGAAGACATGGCCCCTGGACTCTCTGTTAATCCAGAACTAAAACCATTCCCAAAGCCAATTCTTTAGACAAAGATTAGACTAGACTATAAAACATAAAATAATACTAGTGAAGAGTGTGCTTCTTAGTTCAAGTAGATACATGAGACTAAATGGGAAGCTCCTGTCTGGAGGCAGGATGAGAAGGCAGAAAGGGACAGGAGATGGTGGAATGGACACGGGAAATCCAGGGTAGAAAGGAGGAGTATGCTGTCACATTGTAGGGATTGCAACTAGGGTCACATAACAGTATGTGTATAAATTTTCGTATGAGAAACTAACTTGAGCTGTAAACTTTCACCTAAAGCACAATAAAAATTTTTTTTAAAAAAGATGCCTCCAAAAAAAAAAAAAGTTCAGTAATGGTAGCAGGGCACCATCCAGTTCTTCTGCTCTCATGGCAAAGGAAGCAGTTGTTCATGGAGGCAATTAACCACACATTCCATTTCATCTTCCTATTCCTGACAGCCTGCAGTATGGATTACATCTCAACATAAAGAAAACAAAAATCCTCACAACTGGACCAATAAGCAACACCATGATAAAACGTAGAAAAGATTACAAAGTTGTCAAGGATTTCATCTCACTTGGATCCACAATCAACACCCATGGAAGCCGCAGTCAAGAAATCAAAAGATGCACTGCATCAGGCAAATCTGCTACAAAAGATCTCTTTAAAGTGTTGAAAAGCAAAGATGTCACCTTGAAGGCTAAGGTGCACCTGACCCAAGCCATGGTATTTTCCAATGGCCTCATATGCATGCAAAAGCTGGACGATGAATAAGGAAGACCGAAGAAAACTGACATTTTTGAATTGTGGTGTTGGCAAAGAATATTGAATATACCATAGACTGCTAAACGAATGTACAAATCTATCTTGGAAGAAGTACAACTAGAATGCTCCTCAGAAGCACGGATGGCTAGACTACATCTCACGTACTTTGGATATGTTATCAGGAGGGATCAGTCCCTGGAGAAGGACATCATGCTTGGTAAAGCACAGGGCTACCGAAAAAGAGGAAGACCCTCAACAAGATGAACTGACACAGTGGTTCCAACAACAGGCTCACGCAGAGCAATGATTCTGAGGATGGCACAGGACTGGGTAGTGTTTCATTCTGTTGTGCAGAATCCATGGCATCTAACAACAACATTCCTGACTCTCCTTCCTCCTCTGTTGTTCCAGGTGAATAGAGACCAATTGTGCTTTGGATGGCTGCTTGCAAGCTTTTAAGACCCCAGGTGTTACACAACTAAGAGGTAGGACAGAAGCACTAAACACATTAGGCCAATTAACTGGGACATCCCATGAAACCATGACTCTAAACCTCCAAACCAAGGAACCAAATGCCATGAGGTATTTGGTTGTACCTAAGCAGCCTCAGCAGCTACTCTTTTTGTTGTTGTTGTAAATATATCTATCATACAACTTTTGCCAATTCAACGTTTTACAGGTGTACAACTTACTGACAGCAATTACTATAATAGGTTGTGCAACCCTACTCCTAATCAATGCAATTTTTCCATCACCATAAATTGAAACTCAGTACTCCATAAGCAATAGCACCCCCTTTACTCCTCCCTCCTGCCCCTGGTAACCACTAACAAACTTTGGTCTCTATACATTTGCCTTTTCTTTTCTTTTTAGATGAGTGAGGTCATACAATATTTGCCCTTTTGTGATTAACTTATTTCACTCAGCATAATGTCTTCATGCTCCATCTCTACTGCAGCATGTATCAAGACTTCATTTCTCTTAACTGGCTGCAGAGTATTCCATAGTATGTATGTACCACATTTTCTTTATTAATTCATCTGCTGATGGGCATTTAGGTTGTTTCTACCTTTTGGCTATTGTGAATAGTGCTGCAATGAACACTGGTGTACAAATGTCTGTCTGAGTCTCTACTCTCAAGTCTTTTGTGACCATGGGGTTTTCAAGGCTGTGCCTTTTCAGAAGTAGATCACCAGGCCTATCTTTGGAGGTGTCTCTGGGTGGGCTCGAACCACTAGCCTTTCAGCTAGTAATAGAACTAGTTAAATAATGTCTCCCACAGGTCTAAGTATCACAAACGTAAATACTAGATTCCATAATACGGCCTGAACTTGGTCTGCATTTTCTTTTCCAAAAATGTTCACATCTGTACATAGAAGGCTGTAGAAAGGTGCTCTCCTAAAATCTGGGATAAGCCTACTCTCTCCGCTCGGCACTGTGGCTTAATTTCACAACATGGTGCGTAGAAAGAGTAAAGTTTTTAAAATTCCCTTCAACCACTTATGAGCTTAATACCCTTGGACAAACTTGTTTCCTTACCCATAAAACAGAGGGTGGGGGATAACAAAAGACCTCACTTTACAGAATTAAACTAATAAAATTCAGCATATAATGGAAAAGATAAGCTCTATATACAAATGACCTAAAAGATGTAATTAAATGACTGAAAACACTTGGGAAACACAGAGTCCAATCAAAGTGATCTAATCAATTGTTTTGCAAACTCTGAAATGAAAAGGAAAGTATTGTTTGAATGGAGTGCGGTGTACAGATTTTAACTTTACCCGAAGTACTCTGGTCTTTGACCTTGATTCTTAAAAGATAAATTCTTAATCCTTGGAATTTCCTGAATAATTAAGGTCCCTTTATTATCTATAGATCTGCAGACCACACCTGAGAGTTTATGCCAATGAGACGACTCTAAGGTGGTGGCTGACCAGGCCAGAAAGACGCCACCACCTGATACCATGACCCTGCGATCTCCACTGACCTCAGGGGAGAGGGGGTGGACTTTGCATTATGTAATGAGATCCCCCCAGTAAAAGCTCTGGACACTGAATCTACAATAGCTTCCTGGTTGGAGAAAAGCATCTGCTCCCCCTAGAGGGTGACACACACTGTGTGGGACACAGAAACTCCAAGCTGGGAAGACTCCCAGACTTTGCCCTACGAGTCTCTTCCTTGTGCTTAACCTGATTTGTATCCTTTACAATAAAGCTGTAATCGCAAAGACAGCGCGTTCTGAGTTGTTCCAATGAAACATCCAACCCGAGGGAGTACTGGGAGCCAGCAGGTCAGAAATGAGGGGGCTGGGGACTCCCAAGCTTAGAGCTGGCATCCTGAAGGCATAATGGGAAACCCTGAACTTACAGCCAGCAGGTCAGAAGTGTGGGTGTCATGAGGTCTCACAAGCTTGCAGCTGGTGTCTGAAGTCTTAGGAAGACTTGGCAGTCTGAAGGACCATGTCTTTTTAACTTGTGAGACCTGACCTAGCTCTGGGTGCTAAGGGTCAGAGAGAGAGGTGCTGCATGTGCAGCTGGTGCCAGAAGTGAGAAGTGGGGGTTTGTCACATCCTCATAGTTGGTGTTAGAAAAAGTAGGTTTCATTGACCCATACAGGAGTGTAGAAATGATGATCAATAAGAAAGAATATGTCAGTGTTTTCTCTCCATCCACCAGGACAGAAGGAGCCCTACCTTTATGAAAGTATCTGTGCCATTTAGCAATTATATTTCTCTGCTAAAAAACAACAAATTGGGAATCAGGTTTAAGAACCAGAATCAACTGTGTCCTGACAAGTTTCTGGTCCTCTAAAGCTGAGAACCAGACCCTGGACCATGAGGCCTCATTCCTAAGTGTCTCACAAAGCTTAAACCGCAAAACCCTACCAGAACACAAGTGGGCCTGTAACTGTCTCTTTCTCCACTAGGTCCAGTGAAGAATATAACTAACATCTTTCATGACTTGACACTTAAGAGTTTCAAAACTTACCCAATTGACCGTAATTTGAAGTTGCTTTGATCAATACTGAGTACTTTCACTTCCTAAAGAGGAAAGAATTTTTTTAATTTAAAAAAAAAATTTCACAACAGGCCATCTACTAAAACATGTTTAGGTTACCACTTGTTATTTTTTTTAATTTTTTCCCATACAAAAACTTATACATACATTGTTATGTGACTCTAATTGCTCTCCCCATACTGTGCCAGCACTCTCCTCCTTTCCACCCGATTCCCCATGTCCATTCAGCCAGCTCCTAACCCTCTCTGCCTTCCCATCTCACCTCCGGACAGAAGTTGCCCGTTTAGTCTCTTGTATCTACTTAAGAGGCACACTCCTCATGAGTATCACTTTATGTCCCACAGTCCAGTCCAATCCCTATCTGAAGAGCTGAATCAGAAACTGTTTTAGTTCTGGGCTGATAGAGAATCCAGGGGCCATGCTTTCCGGGGTACCTCCAGTCTCAGTCAGACCATTCAGTCTGGTCTTCTTACTAGAATTTGAGTTCTGCACCCCACCTTTCTCCTGCTCCATCTGGGACTCTCTGTTGTGTTCCCTGTCAGGGCGGTCCTTGGTGGTAGCCGGGCACCATCTAGCTCTTCTGGTCTCAGGCTGATGAAATCTCTGGTTTATGTGGCCCTTTCTGCCTGTTGGGCTAATACTTGCCTTGTGTCTTTGCTGTTCTTCATTCTCCTTTACTCCAGGTGGCTGGGACCAATTGATGCATCTTAGATGACCACTTGCAAGCTTTTAAGACTCCAGATGCCACTCACCAAAGTAGGACGCAGAACATTTTCTTAACAAGCTTTGTTATGCCAATTGACCTAGATGTCCCCTGAAAGCATGGTCCCCAGACCCCTACCCCTGCTACTCTGTCTCTCAAAGTGTTTGATTGTATTCAGGAAACTTCTTAGCTTTGGTTTAGTCCCAGTTGTGCTGACTTCCCCTATAGTGAGTGCTGTCCTTCCCTTCACCTAAGATAATTCTTATCTACTATCTAGTTAGTAAATAACCCTCCCCCCTCCCTCCCCACCCTCGTAACCATCAAAGAATGTCTTCTTCTGTGTTTAAACCTTTTCTTGAGTTCTTATAATAGTGGTCTTATACAATATTTGTCCTGCTGTGACTGACTAAATTCACCCAGCATAATGACCTCCAGCTTCCTCCATGTTATAAGATGTTTGCTTCATCGTTGTTCTTTATCATTGCGTAGTATTCCATTGTGTGGATATACCATAATTTGTTTATCCATTCGTCCGTTTTTGGGCACCTAGGTTGTTTCCATCTTTTTGCTATTGTGAACAGTGCTGCAACGAACATGGGTGTGCATATATCTATTCGTGTACCGGCTCTTATTTCTCTCGGATATATTTCAAGGAGCAGGATAGCTGGATCGTATGTTACTTCTATTTCTAGCTTTTTAAGGAAGCGCCAAATTGATTTCCAAAGTAGTTGTACCATTTTACGGTCCCACCAACAGTAGGTTACCACACTTCTAGAAAATGATAGTATACTACTTTTCTCAAGCAAAGAAAATTAAAATGTTAACTAAAATAGTACAACAAACTAAATACATTTCAAGGAAATAAGGTTTGTTTTACATACTCAAGTGAGGCATTCTTGAAAACTGTACCATCTAAAAACACGAGTTAAAAGAATTTCTCTTTAAGATATATGGTAGAGAACAATATAGGATTTCAATCACTTTCATTCTATAGTCATGTACTAGTACGGGCACTTGAATTCTGTAGGCCGTGTGATGCAGTTGGTAGAGCATATGTGGTGGAACTGCTAAGGGAGAGAAGGGTGGAATTACGGACACAGGGAGGGCCGACTGTGTCAGGTAACAGTGTTGTTGGAGGGGTATGCCCTTCTATAGGTGGACAGCATCAAGGAATTTCCATTTGGTTTTACCCTTTTTTACTTTAAGGAAAACTAAAAGTAGCAATTCCTTAAACTAAGCCAACTTTACAGAACTGCTAAACCTCAAATGGTTAACATAATAAAAGGAATACGTGGATGGACATAAATATAACTCAAAGTTGGGAGACATGAAAAGTGTAGATAAACACAGAATACTGGAGAGCTGTCCCTCAGGGTGAGCAGTAGCCTATAGTCTGTTTACATAATGGGTGTCTTCTGATCACCCAATCCTATTAGTGACAAGTGCATGATCTCTAAATACAAAATGCATATAGATAAGGCAAACTCAAGTTAACCAAGAAATACCTATTATCATTGTAATTTATGCAAATAAATACCATCTTACATATCTGTACAGATTGGTCTTGCATACTGTGTTCTATTTTAAACCACTTGTTCTATTTTAAAACCTGAACTAAGAATCCATTTGCTAAGAAAGAAAAATCCTTGCTTACCCGGGGTATGAAGAACTCATCAGCACTGAACTTATAAAGCCACTCATCCAAAAAGTGAAACAGAAGAGACTGTAAGTCATCTCCTACAAGGGATTAAAAAGAACTATAACAACATATTTAATTATTCTGGTCTCTAAAAATCTGTTTGAATTTAAAAGTTCAATGAATTTCTCAGGCTAATTAAAAAAGAAAGAGCAGGCTCATAATCAATTTTATTCTTATTGTGAAAAGTTTGAAAATGTACTCCAATTATTTAGAACACTGTACATTTTTATAACAATTTCTTCCTTGTGTATAAATCAGTTACCTTGGGTTTCTACTTCTACTGTATGGAGGGGCTCAACAGTCCCAGTATCTGTCATGTAACCAAACATGGCCATTGCACATTGCTCAAATGCTTCCTCCAGAGTATCTCCCCACGCGTGTAACCTAAAGAAACACATTCATGCTCTCTGTAATCCACTGTAAGATGGAAAACTTGACAGCAAAATCAAAATAAAATCAATACAATAAGAGAAAAACCAAAGGCCTCAATCAAGTCAATGGCACTGAAACTGAGTGCCCTTAAACAACCATTTTCATGTCCTGAAAGAACCAAGATAGGAAGAGAAAAATGAAAATGAGGGACATCAAGATGAAAACATTCAGCCTTCCTATGTCAGCATTTGGTTTCAAAGGAACCCCAGCTATACTCACTGGACATCAGCTGTATGATCCAAATCTAAAAGAGAGAGAGAAAAACACTAATGAGACACTAAACTTGCTTTTAAATAATCACAAAAAATAACTCTAACATGATGAATGTAATTAATGTCACTGAATCGTACATGTAAAAAATGTTCAAGTGGCAATTGTCTTCTTTTATATATTTTTACGATTAAAAATATAACTCTAGTTCATTGTTACAAGAACATCATCCTTAAAGAATCAGAAAACATGGGGCATCCCATACCTTTTGCTACCATTTACACAACAAAGTTAACCTGCTTCGTTAAGGCTTATTATTTTTTAAACCAAGGTTTATATTTAAATGAATGACAATTTCTGTCAGGCAGTTGGGCCAGGGTTTTCTGGGTGACCAAAAATTGTCTAATACATTATCATTTCTCAATGAATAAATGATATTACCTGCCATTAGTTACTTTTCATCAACAAAACAAACCAATACCTTTTCTAAATATCTTCTGTGTGAATGATCAAAACTCTAGGAATTACATCATCATCAGAGAGTTAAAATTCTAGATTTTTCACATCTTACCTTTTCATGAACAGCTAGCCTAATCCTAGATAAAACAATTTAGAAAGTAAACTTCACAGTATGTATTATGAGCCTTTTCTGGAAGCTTCTGGTATTATAAGAACACTAGAATGGTTACACAAATATATATATATGCATATATATGTATGTGTATGAATACATGAGTGCACATATGTGTGCACAGATAGATGTAGCTATAGACATGTAAACACAGATGTGTGTGTGGATACATGTACATCCATATATATAATAAACTACATAAGGAATACAGTTAGAGATACTTCTTAGACATAACCAAACACCTCTTGAGATTGGTTTTCTGGGTTTGAAGGTTTAGAACCATAGTCTCATGGGACAACTCAGTTAATTGGCATTATATAGTTCATAAAGTGGTAAGTATTGTCTATGGGCTTAAATGTTGCGAGTGGCCATCTAAGATACATTTATTGGTCTCTACTCATCCAGAATAAAAGAGAAAAAAGGTATAAAAATGATGTGGTAGGGGCGTATGACCTCTAATTTCCTGAGGGGGAGAGACAATCACTATTAGCATCAATGCAAAGCTGATTCCCATGATGCAGAGATCAGACATACCCCCTTTCTCCAAACCTTTTTACCAATTCTGACACCAGCCATCCCTTCCACAGCACTCTGTACTTCTCTGCTGGGTTCGATAATTCGTTGCAGTGGGCACACAGAACTCAAAGACAATACTCACAATTGTGGGGTTTATTAGGGAAGTAACAGGTTACAATTCAGCATCACTAATGACTCAGGATAATATGCGCATAGGCAGGCCTCTCCCTGGCCCTTGGCCTCTCGGCCATCAGTCCCTCTGACCTCTTGGGCCAGCCTGGCCCCTGCACTGCTCAAGCAAGTGTTACAAAGCTCTTTGGCTCTACTGGTAAGTACCCAGAGGTACCACGCTCCGCCAGGAAGCCTGAGCCTGAAGGCGCTCAGCTCTCTAGCTCCATGTGTTGGCAAGCATAGCTCTGCTGACAAGTGCCTGGAGGCACCCTACTCTGCCAGGAAGCCTCCTGCATGAATGCGCTCAGCTTTCTCGTTCCACAGGCCAGGAAGCCAAGCGCACCGTCTCCTGGTTCTGCTGTTGCCAGTTCTCTCCCATGCTTGCCGCCGCTTCTAGCTGTCTTGCAACCTCTCCAGTGTTACACCTGTCTCCTGGGTCTAGGAGGTTCTCAGTGCAGGGACCCCATATCCAAAGGACACCTCCACTCCTGGATCTTCTTTGTTGGTGGTAGTGAGGTCCCCCTCTGCTCTGGGATTGACTTTCTTTTAAGCCTAATGGGATGGCAAAAATGACCAATCCCCTCATTAGGGCTCCATACACATTATTTGCATGGTTTCATCCCACAAGGTTCTATGCACCTTATTTGCATTGTTAGCAAGCTGTCCATTCTCCTTGGTGAGGCATGTGATGTGATGGCTCACTTTTGTGTGGCCCGTCTCACCATGGTCTGGCAACTCCTACCCAAGTAATTGGGTGGGACTGTGCAAATAAGGTAATTGTGGCCCACCAAGGGCCTGAGCAAGGCAGAGGCCAAGAGGCCAGAGAGATGTATCCCTGTGGGTACGGCTGGCAAGAGGCTGTCCTGATGGAAGAACTGTATCCTGAGCATTCCTGAGCTTGACTTGCAACCTGTTACTTCCCTGAGTATAGTCTGTGAGTTCTGTGTGGTCACTGCAATGAATTATTGAACCAAGCATAGAAGTACAGAGTGCCGCGGGAAGGACGGCCAGTGTCAGAATTGGTAAAGATGGCAGAGAGAGAAGGCATGTCTGACCTCCGACTTACAGGAATCAGCCTAGGGCTGTTGATCTTGATTCTCTTTTCTCCCTCATGAAGTCAGAGGTCAGGCGCCGGCCACCACCACATCATTTGTACAGTTGGTGTCAGATGGAGGATTCGTTGCAATGGCTCCAAACTCAAGGGAAGCATGGGACTTTGTAAGAGAAAGAACGAAGGGGCTTCAGAAGTGAAACTTTTGATTCTTAGATGGTTACTTTGGTTACCGAGGGGAGAAAAACCTGCATCTGGAGTGGCCTGGAGCAAAAAAGCCAGGCCAGATAAGCATAATGATTAATGGGGGCCACAGTCTACTGGTTCCACCCAGCCAGAGGCCCAAAGCCATACGCATATGAATGGAAAGATACTCAAGGGGTGGAGAGGATGAAACTGGAATGTTTTAGAAAGGGTTATGTATTTAAGATTATGTGTTTAACTGAATGTACTACATATATTGAATGTTTCTCCTACCTAGTGTTGTAAAGCTGACCTAAAGGTACAACAGAAATGAATGCTGGGTATTACAGATTACAGAGCGTGTAACTCTGCCTTCCGCCAATACTTGATTGGATATGCTAAAAGCGGAACTAGGATTTGTCTGGGAAACACAGGCTGTTGGTCTGAATGCAGTGGCCCTGTTTATAGATGGGGGCTTAGGTAGAAAACCTGAGCTCCATCCAGATTTCGCATTTGAGAAGACATGCAGAATCACCTAGAACTGCTGAGAGAACAGAAGATTTGCAGTTGAAGAAAGAACCTACAGAAAAAAAAAAAAAGACTGTTTTGCTTTTTGAATTTAGAGTAAGTGGTCTGTCATTGGATGCATCTGGATGCATCGAGGCAGGAAAAGTCAGTGCCCATCGGAAGGAACTCCCTTACAGGACTGGAAGTTAAAGGGAGCCAGCGAATACACAGTTGGCTCGTGGTGACCACCTAGGTCCACTAGAGTGGAAGTGGGGGAAGTGCAGCAATGAAGACACAGGCTGAGTTTGAACGTGTTCCATTGGCACCCACTGACCTAGCCCAAGGGGGCTAGGGATGAAAGAGTGTGAAGGGGCTGCCTCAAGTGCCAAGAGATGTGTGCAAACTCTCAAGCCTAAGGCTGCTACCCATTGTTATCTAGCTTGGATGGCTGGGGATAAGCTGACCAGGACCTGACCAAACGAAGAGAAAGATGTTTGACACCGTGAGCTGGTGTAGACTGCTGCAATTTGATGGCTTGCTCTGGACTGGACTTTGCTTATGGATGCAGACGCTCAAAATTCCAACTGGAATGGAAGATTTTTCAAGACCAAGGAACATGCCTGTTTCCTCCTAGTACTGATTTGATAGGGATGGGCAATTTAAACATTGGCTATCTAAAATGGGGGAAAACAAAGCTATGAACTGGCTGGCTTACACGCTTTCGTGGGTGTGCTTACACTTAAAATGAGGGGGGCAAGGGAGGATCTCCACTGAATAGATTCCTCTTTTCCTGATGGGTCTGAGGAAGACAGGGTGGGGAAAGATGCTGATAAGACTGTATGATTCAGCTGTGAGTGTTGTTAACAGGCTTGTGATTGTAAAAACTGTAATTGTAGAAGCTGCAAGTGTGATAGAATGGGGAAACCTAAAGTCCTTTAAACGTTTTGCTATGATGACACCTCATGAGGCTTAGAGCAAGGGAATAATCTCTCAGTTAAATTTTATCAGACACCAGAAGGGATGAAGTCGAGACAAACTACTGGAGAACCTCACCAGATCAGATGGACAACTGAAGCAGACCTGGATGGCTGGTACGTGAGTAACCTCACCCTTAGGACTCTGCCCTATTGAAGGACTAATTGTTGATGACTGTTTTGGACTGGTAAAATGATTGGGACATGAAAGTTATCCCCCATGTATGAAAGAACCATGGCTAGAAAAGCCAGGCGGTAGCCTGCAATGCGATGGATCGCTTTTGTGTGGCGTTTCTCACCATGGTCTTCTAACTCCCACACAAGTAATTGGGTGGGGCTGTGAAAACAAGGTAAATTGTGGCCCACCAAGGGGACTGGTCACTCTTGACATCCCGCTAGACTTAAAAGAGAGCCAATTCTAGAGCAAGGAGAGGATCCCACCATCACCAAGGAAGAAGGACCAAGAGTGGGGCATGTCTTTTCAACCCGGGATCCCTGCGCTGAGAAGCTCCTGGAACCAGGAAACTGAGTGACAGAGCTGTAAGATGGTGAGAAACAGTGGCAGAGAAACAGCGTCAGGAGAGACCAGCAGGAGGTGGCGCAGTGGGCTTTCCAGCCCACAGAGTAAGAAAGCTGAGTGCCTTTGGGCAGGAGGCTTACTGGTGGAGGGGGGTGCCTAGGGGCACTTATCAGCAGAGCTAAAAGAACTCTGTAACACTTGCCCAAGCTGGGCAGAGGCCAAGAGGCCAAAAGAGCTTTGTAACACTTGCCCAAGTAGGGTAGAGACAGAGGGCCAGAGACGCATGCCTGTGGGCACAGCTGGGAAAAGGCTGTCCTGATGGAAGAACTGTATCCTGAGCATTCCTGAACCTGAATTGTAACCTGTTACTTCCCTAATAAACCCCATAATCGTGAGTATAGTCTGTGAGTTCTGTGTGGCCACTGCAAGGAATTACTGAACCCAGCATAGAAGTACAGAGTGCCACGGGAAGGACGGCTGGTGTCAGAATTGGTAAAGACGGCAGAGAGAGGAGGCATGTCTGACCTTCGACTTACAGGACTCAGCCTAGGGCTGTTGATCTTGATTCTTCTTCTCCCTCATGAAGTCAGAGGAGGTCAGGCATCACCATGACATCATTTTTATAGGCCACAAGCCCCTTATTTGCATAATCCTACTGAATCATTATGTGGGAGTCAAAGATTATGGCTAGAGGAGCCATATTAAGTAATTCACCGCACTGCAGAAGGAAACCAAAAACTCAGAAAAGTAGTGTACAGGACTAATCGCCTACATGAACCATGGCCTCATCTACCCTGAGACCAAAAGAACTAGATGGTGCCCGGTGTCAGGGCGACAACAAATGAATCCTGATGGAATAGGAAAAAAGTGGAACAGAACTCAAATTCTTAAAAAGTCCAGACTTCTTGGACCGACTAAGACTAGCGGACTCCCCAAGACTATCGTCCTGAGATACTCTTTAAACCTTAAACGAAAATTATCCCTTGAGATCACCTTTTAGCTAAATAGCAGACTGGCTCATAAAATAAAGAATATCACCTGTGAATAGTGAGCTCCTTTAAAAAATCATCTTTAGGAGACCAAATGGTCAAAAATTACTCTAAAGCAAAGATGAAAAGGTAAGAGGGCAGGGAGACTAGAGTGCTGGAAATGGTACAACCAGAAAGGAATGAATGAGAATGATGACACACTGAAAAATGTAACCATATTACTGAGTAATTTATGTAGAAATTGTTAAATGGGAACCTAATTTGCTGTGTAAACTTTCACCTTAAACACAATTAAAAACAAAAAACACTAGAAAGTAACAAATGCTCCTATAGCATGCTTCCATTGGATCTGTTATCTCAACATTTTCAGTCTACTCTGCACTCGTATAACTTCCATCCATTCTTCCCAGTTAGAGTCACAGACTACTAAGGCTAGAAGCAAGCCTTGGAGACCACTGAGTACAATTTCTTCACTTACAAGAAGAAATATGAAATCCAGAGAGATTATGTGACTTGTTCAGGACTACACTGTTGATTAAAAACATAACTGGGACTAGAATTGAGGTTTTCTGACTCCCAATTTGATACATTTTGCAAATTATATTGTTAACATAGTCTTCCGGTGGCAATCAAGGTTCAAGTTCATCTCTAATCCACTCAAAAATATTTAATGAGAGCTTACCAAGTATTGGAGCCCTGGTGGCACAGTGGTTAAGAGATTGACTAATAACCAAAAGGTAGGCAGTTCAAATCCACCAGCTGCTCCTTGGAAACCCTAAGGGGTAGTTATACTCTGTCTTACAGGGTCGTTAGGAGTCAGAAACGACTCGGCGGCAGTGGGTTTGGTTTTTGGTTTACTAAGTACTAGGCAAAGGGAGCTCAATGACTAGCAGAGATCACAAACAAGTTAAAAAGTCAAAAGAAAGAAAATGATAGGTATTAACCCTAGAGAAATGAAAATACGTGTCCACAAAAACACTTATACAAGAACATTCACAGCAACTTTATTCCTGAAAGCTAAAAACAACCCAAATGTCCATCAATAAGAGAATAAACAAACAGGTATGATCATACAATGGACTACCACTCAGCAATAAAAAAGCAAGAAGTACTGATACATGTAACAAAATAGATGAATCTCAAAAATACTATGTTGAGGGAAGAAGCTAGACATAAAATAGCCCATACTGTATGACTGCATTTATATGAAACTCTAAAACACTCAAAATTAAACTATGATGATAGAAATCAGAATAGTGTTTGCCTCAAGGTGGGCAGGGGTTGAGCACAAGGGAACTTTCTGGGGTGATGGAAATAGTCTATATCGTAGTTGAATTGTTGGTTACATATAAGAAGAAAAGGTTAAAAATAACTACATAAGAATAAATTTCTGTATCATAAAAAAAACCAACAACCCAAAAGAAAAGTGGGTTAAGAACATGAATATACACTTTCCAGAAGGGGAAATACAATTAGCTCCAAACATACTAGATGTTCTACTCACATATAACGAGAAAAATACAATTGGTATGACAACATACTAAAATTGAAAATTCCAAGAAGTAGAGTAACACACTAAATTGGTAAGAGTAAGGAAAGATGCACACTCCTACACTGTAATGAGAGCATAAACTGATACAACCTCTATGGAGGACAATCTGACAGTAACTGTCAAAGTTAAAGATGCACTATATTTTGACAAAGCAATTTAACTCCCAGAAATTTATTCTACATGTATACTAGCACATGTGCAAAATGATAGATGTACATGTATACTCATTGCTGCATTGTTTGTAACAGCAAAAGAGAAGAAACATCCTAAATGTCCATCAACGGGAAACTGGTTAAACAAAGTAAACGGTAGAACATTTTTGCGTGTACACATAAGAAAATGGTAATGTTGTTTGCTCTAGAGAAGACTAAGCGGATGGCGATCAAGGCTGAAAGACTTTTCACGATATACCTCTTACACCTTTTGAATTTTGAATCATACATCACAGATTAAAAATAAATTTTTAAAACTGTTTTTAAGGGAGAAAGATGCATAGGGAGATATGCAGGGTCCGCAAGTAGAGACTTGGACGCTATGGTAAACAGACTTTATACAGACAATGGGAAATCAATGAAGGATATTAAGCAGGGAAATAAGAGTCAGATTTGTGCTCCCCAAACAAACTACATACACCTTAAGGATGACAGTTTAAAGTTTATATAAAACTTAAGGGTCTGCACTGTACTTTTACATTCAGTATTATCATTTAATCCTCAGACCAAGAAACTGAAATGCAAAGGCAGGTTATGCGATTTGCCTAAATGGCAAAACCAGTTCTTTTTACTAACATCATGATCCATGTAAAATACCAAGTCAGAAGCGGCCTATTTGGCTTTCCAAGTCCTCTCTCCTAACCACAATCTTGGATATACATAGGAGCTACAGCCCTGTAAACGCTTGGAAATACGATTATTTTTAGAAAATGCTAATAAAATTCACCCAAGATAAATGTGATTAGCCGTATGTGAAAGAAGTTCAAGAGACTGTAAATGTGGGAGCTTAGGTTTCCCAACTCTCAGACCAGGTGGCCGTTTCCTTCACCAGCACCCGCACAAGCACCAAAGAGTCTACACTGGGCGGAATAGCTTCTTGCCTGAAGCACCTGCTAGGACGGGATGGTAGGCGAGGCCGGAAACCGTGAGTAAAGGGGATGCTCCTGTGCCTATATCTGAAATGAGAGCCATCTACTCACACTCGTACTTCCGATTGACTGGAGGATACTTGGCCTTGACCGCCTTCTGCTTCTCAGTCAAATTGTAATCTCTCACATCTTCTCCTCCTTGCGCCATGATTACAACATTGGTCTCTCTACTTCCGCCCTTTATCTGCCGGACTTCGGACCTAGATACAACTTCCGCTCGAGACTCCGCTCCCTGGCACACACCTTTAAAGGGCCAGAACTACAATTTCGGAACTCGCGGATGTACCTTACTTCCTAAGACTTCCGACCTAGGCACCTCCGCCTGGAGTGCACCTTTAAAGGGCCAACGTCCCATTTTTTTGCACTTGCTTTATCAATAGTTCTTTCTCAGAAACAAACAAGTTAAAGGACCTGGGAGTTAGGGACAACTGAATTAGGCACCTATGGCCCTGAATGGGAAACCCTGGTGGCGTAGCGGTTAAGCGTTACGGCTGCTAACCATAAAGGTCAGCAGTTCGAATCCACCAGATGCTCCTTGGAAACTCTATTGGGGCAGTTCTACTCTGTCCTTTAGAGTCTGTGTGAGTCGGAATTGACTCGACAACAACGTGTTTTTTTCGTTTTGGCCCTGAATGAGCCCTGATGACTCAGTGGTTATGAGCTCACTGCTAACCAAAAGGTAGGCAGTTCGGATTCACCAGCCGCTCCTTGGAAACCCTATGGGGCCGTTCTACTCTGTCCAATAGGGTCGCTATGAGTCGGAATCAACTCAGGGGAAACTTTTTTTTAAGCCCTGAATGATAGAGGACTTTTCTCTCCATCTCCCCAGAATTGATAACTAGACCCAAAAGCATTCTAAATTTCTTATCTGAGTACTGTACTCTGAAAGGAGTTTAACAGCCTTTAAGAAAATGGCTGCCCCCAGGAGAGTGCAGGCTAAACCCTTCTCCCGCGACCCTGGGCGTGCGCACTCCCGCCAGCCCCCGCGCGCGCGCAAACGAAGGAAGTCGGCTCTAGGCTGTGTGGGGGAGGGGGCGGAGCGCGCGCCTCGGTCCGGCGAAAAGCAACTCTGCGCGTCTGGATAGGCTGCGAGCGCAGCTCCCCCGCCTACCCCGCCTTTCGATGTGCTCGGATTGGCCGATGTTGGCGCGAAGGTGCGCGAGTCGGGCCTCACGCAGGGGCAGCAGGAAACAATAGAGGCCGCGCGCGCGGAGCGAGCGCCCGCAGCTTCCCCGCCCCTCCCGCAACGTTCGACCCCCAGCTCCCTCCCGGCTCGCCTGCCCGCCATGGCCGACAAGGAAGGTGAGGGTGCTAGGGCTGTCCCAGAAGGGCCAAGGGGTGCCGCGGCTATGCTGCGGCCTCGACACGGCCTAACACTGAGGGCAGGCCCGACTTTGCTTAGTGCGGTTACCAGCGTCGAAGGCATGAGGATAAATTTCCCCGCGGGGCGGGCTAACGGCGCGCTAGTACCTCTAGAGGGGGTGCCTGTCGCAGCAGGGTGTTTCGTCCCTCCCCTAGCAGCCCGGCGGCCTCCCCGCGCTCCTTGTCAGCCTTTTCCGCCCTTTCCGGGGCCTCCCTGCACTGCTCCCTACCCCCAGGGGTTGGTGTTCGGGCCTCCTTGCCGGTCGTGTAGACTAGCCGCGTACGAGAACGTACCCCGAAGGCCTAGCGCAGCGAACGGGTAACGGAGTGTCGGACTGCCATGACCCGAGAGTGGTTCTGGCCCCACGAAGGTAGAGAGGGGGAGTTGGTGCCTCTGCCTAGGGAGGATTTGGACAAACTCCTCGCCGTTTCAGAATCAGAACCCAGGGGCCATGCTGGTAGTGCCGTGTGTACTTGATTTCCGTTCGTTTGCTAACCTCGTTTATTTTTTTTATTTTTTTAGCAGCCTTTGATGATGCTGTGGAAGAACGTGTGATCAACGAGGAGTATAAAATATGGAAAAAGAATACCCCTTTTCTTTATGATTTGGTGATGACCCATGCTCTGGAGTGGCCCAGCCTAACTGCACAGTGGCTTCCAGATGTAACCAGGTGGTGTAAATCTCTTAATACACTTAATCTCTTAATCTCTTTTTGTGTGTTCTCATTGTAGGTTTTTACATTGATCCCTCCACGCCTTATTTCTGTCTGTCTAGTCACTTGGAGAAGGCACATGATCAAAACCTATTGGTGACATTTTTTCTAGGCTAGAATATACGGCAGAATGTAAAAATATTTTGTGATTTATCTGACGAGAAAAAACACATGGGTGGTGTCTTTCTCTGATAACTGAATAGGCGCATTAAACAATTGTAGTTGACCGAGTAATAATGTAAAACTTGTCAGCTTTCAAAAAGTATCATCAGGAGTCCAGTTCATTCAACAAAATATTTGAACCCTCACAGTCATTGGTATTAGCTGGTTAATACAAAAAGGAACATGACATGGTATCTGCCTTCAAGGAGCATATAGTCAAAGTGGCAGACGTAAACTAACAGTTATATGTGGTGAGAGCTTCTTAGGATACTTGGGGAGGGGGTGGGAACCGTTGCCATGGAGTGGATTCTAACTCATGGTAACCCCATGTGTTATAGAGTAGAAGTGCTTCTTAGAGTTTTTTCAGCTATAACCTTTATAGAAGCATATCGCCAGGACTTTTTTCTGCAGCACTGCTGGTTGAGTTTGAACCAGCAACCTTTAGCTTAGTAGCAAAGAGCAAACTGTGATACCAGAGGCCTTTATCTCTAATAGAGAAAATTATTTAATTTTCTTTGCGTATATTGGGGGTCCTATGGTGCAGTTCTACTCTGTCCTGTAGAGTCACTGTGAGTCGGAACTGCTCTATGGCACCTAACAACAACAACAAATATGTCCCAGATATCACGGTACAAATTTTGATAAGACACCTTTCCTGCCTTGATTTCACGTGTATAAAGTGGAACACTACAAAGTAATTATAATTATCATAAGAGTAGCATAGATAAAATGATCAGAGGAAGGAAAAATTACCTCAATTTGGGGCATCAGGAGAGGCTTCTAAGAGGAAGTGTCAATCTGAAGATGGAGATGAATTTGGATAATAGACATCTAAAGTTTCAGCAAAACCAGTGTGCCTGTTATGTTATATACTTAGTAACAAAATTACTTTAAAAACTCAGATCTTTAGAAATCAGGATATTTGCCACATGATTATTAGATTATAATTCAGCTCAGCTAGTAGAAATTTAACATGTAAATTTTGTTAGTAACTTAAGAATGAGACTGCTACCTTCACGTGGGCATAAAGAAAAATGTATTGTTAGATAACACCATAATAAACACCTAGAAATTTAAAGTTGCAACTTACATTATCATGACCGAGAGTTCTCACGTTCAGCTGATTATCAGAATTACTTGGTGAGTTCAGAAGTAAGTGGAGTCATTTCTGTAAGGAGTTCTCAGTGGTAGTTAACAGAAAGACATTACAGAGTACTTGAAAAACAGCTGAATGGCGATTCCAGATTGACTATCGTGTTCTAAAATAGGTATGTTGAACCAGTGGATCCCAAGTGTTGGCCACCCCAGACCTTCTAAATCATTCTGGAACCCATATTTTTAAAAAGCTTCCCAAGTAATGTAGTGATTAGCCAGGGTTGGAAAGCACTGAATTAGACTAAATTCTCCAAGGCTAAAATCTCCGCACTGTCGTTTTAGTAGCTTTCTTCTTTGATAAACTTTCTGCAGTGTTTGTCATTAGTCCCAAGTTCCCTTTCTTCCTTTTTTTTTTCCATTATACTCAATGTAACAATGTTAAGTACTGATGTATCCGACAATTGTTTTTCTTTTCAACCTATGGTAAAGGCTGAGTAGTTAATCCATTAGCATTTTTACTTTTTCCTCAAAGTTATTCTAAATTTTTGGCCAAGTTAAGAAATACTTTACAAAATTAAGTATTATGTATTCCTTCTTGTACTCAGCCCTATGGGAGATACATTAAAAGTAGAAGATACGGCTTTTAATGACTTTCTCTTCTCAAAACTGGTTGTAGTAATAGAATCTTTTGCATCCGTGTATATATAACTGACATGGTGGTCTCCATTGGTGTTACTAATTTGAATAATGTTTGTGCATTGCTCTTACAGACCAGAAGGGAAGGATTTCAGCATTCATCGACTTGTCCTGGGAACACACACTTCAGATGAACAAAACCACCTTGTGATAGCCAGTGTGCAGCTCCCTAACGATGATGCTCAGTTTGATGCGTCACACTACGACAGTGAGAAAGGAGGTAGGAATTCTAAAGATGGAAGAGGGAATGGTGTGTGGGTTATATTTTTCATCTTTAAATTATCATAAAAAGGATGTACAGTTTGATAAAGTAGCTTCTCAAGTTAGAAACAAGATTTAAACTTGGGAAAGCCTGAGTTTGCAGTATAGATATTAAGTTATATTAGTCATAGGTGCCAAAAGAAATACTTCACACACTTTATTCTGTAGTTTTGTTGTAAACCTTTCTCTATTAATAATTGGTGGTATAGGACTTTATAGAATTAAAAGAAACAAAAATTTACCATATATTACTGCTGTGCATGCATGTATTCTCAATAGGGACGGTATGGCCCCTAAGGGAATAAAAATTGGTTTGTGGGGGTGTGAAAACAGTCTTACTCTATATATAAATCACACATGTACATACAGGATATTGGTGGTATTAAAATTTCATCAAGGGTTGAGGGGATGTAAGAGAGGGGAAGTCTTAAAAGGTTCCTTGTTGTTACCATCAAGTTGGCTCTGACTGAGGGGAGGTGATAATGAAAAAAGGGTTGAGAAACACTGGCTTAAATTATCCTTTCCGGGTTTGAAGTGGTAGAAATGACTTACCATGACACTTACTACATATATAAAAATTAAATTTATATTGCCATTTAATTATATCCTATTTTTAGGATGTAACTCTAAAGATTTGATTGCTTCTCTTTCCCTTTCAGAAGAGGTAGGAATTGTTTCTTTTATTTTCCTCAAATTCGAATTATTAGAACATAGAGGACAGGCTTTCATTGACAGTTCTGCTCTAAATAATGGATGTTAATGTTTTTTATATTAGATTTCTCCTGATTAACATATTTTGTTCTTTTATCTAAATTCTTTCGGGCTCTCATTATTTGTCAGGATTATAATTGTACAGTTAGTCATTTGATCATTCCATATTTAGCTTAGTCTGGTGCAGAATGCAAAATAAGTTCTTAGGATTAAGGTCAGCAATTGTGATTTTGTCACTGACCTAAGTGTGTAACAATAGGATACAATTACTGAGAAATGATTCTGTGGCTAGGCATTTGTAGTGGAGGAGAAAGAATGGCTAGAAACCCTGTTGTACCACTCAGTTGTGTGGTTTTGGGTAAATCATTTAGCCTGTCTGAGCCTTAGTGTTTTTCTGTTAAATGAAGCTACATTGTTTTTAAGTAGGATTTTTTGGTTATTTAGGCACAAAACAAATATTTTCACCAGTAATACAGTAAATTGTAAGAAGATAAATATAAAATGAAAGAACCCTGCAAACCTACTCCTTAGAGATCACTGTTAAATT